TATTACATGATTTATCAGAAGTTTTTTCATTGAATTTGTGTTTTGGAGATGTAGTATGGTTGAAAAATTGGATTTAATTTTTTTTTTTTTAATTTAAGGTTTACGAAAATAAACTTTCAACTTTTTACGCCAGGGGTTGGCGTACGAAGCGCGCAGAAGAGAAGCCCCACTATATATAAATTTTTTTTTTTATATTATAGTGCTCTACGTCCGGCTCCTTTTTTAATAAGGGCACTACTATGGTCACTTAGCACTTAGGAAAGGGACAAGGAAAGGGATGGGAGGCCCCTCATTACAGGGAGGGGGTAGGGGGAATTAGGCAATTTTTGCTGCGAGAAGGTCTCCTAAACCCTCCTCGAGGAGCATTGCGTGGTGAAAAAGCACATGTGAGAATCACAGAGGTACTTGCCTGAAAAAGTCGCACTATGGCCGGGAATTGAACCATGGTCTCCCGNTAAAAAGTCATTACGAATAGCTCTGTTGTCTTATGAGGCTTAGTATTAGTAGTCTTACACATAAAATTTAGTAGAGAAAAGCGACACTAGGGGTACGTTTTTTTTTTGTAGTCGGTCGGTCCAATTCCTCAAGAAAGTATACCTAATATACCTATACTCACTATGTATGCAGATATACATTCTAGAGGACTCAGGCCGACCGATCAACCAACCGACTGTACAAAAAAAACGTACCAAAAGGTCCGTACGTGGCGTATGCAATCACTAGTATTTGAAGTGTTAAGCGACTAGTAGCTGCGACCTCAGGGTTCGATTTGGAACAATGACTTTTGGGCATACTTTTGTAATAATACTTTTGAAATAACTTACATTAAATTTATCAAACATTAATTTATCAGGCGACATTTATATTTTTAACTCATAAATTTGAAAGATAATTGTTGCTAGAGCTGTAAAGAAAAATCTATTATTGATAAAGTATTAAAAGTCAAGCACAAATTAGCGGATATAGTATCAATTGTTTAAAATACAAAGTAAAGCTGAAAATTATTGTATTATTTGAGACTTAAGTAATATTATGTAAGAAATATAATTATATATGTTTAAAATAGCAGATTATACTGAAAATTATTGTATTATTCAAGGCTTAAGTAAAATTTTATATAGAAAATAAAATTATACATATGTTTAATTGGTTTGATATTATTCTTGTAAGGACGTATTTTATTAAAAATTGCTCTCTTGTATAAAAAATTATGCTGTCTATTAATTGTTTTTTCTTAATTTGTACCCTCAAAAGTACTAACATAATATTTACAGTTGTTGCCACTGCACTTGGGTAATATTAGTTCAACATATTTATGAACTAATTTTTAGCTATAATGGTACAAATAAAATATTTTGATGCTTAAATTTTTTTTTAAATTTCAATTTTGAAACGAATTCTACAGCCTATTTTATGCTGAAATAACTAAAATAAAAATAAGAAGAAGCAAAACAATGTGTTTTTTTTCGAGTAAAGCATGAAACTGTATTACTGACATTCGGTTGAGAACACGTTAAGAAAACAACAATTTTTCTTTCTGTTAAGCACCATCTAGCGGTGGGAAAAGTGCTGGGAAAAATGTCCATGACTTGTTACAATTTTGACCAACGAGTAGAAAAAAAAAGTTTTTTTCAAAACTGTTATATAAAGTTAGAACTTATCTTTTACTTGAAATTTGACCTCCAAAAAATGAATTCATGGCCAATTTTAAAATACATAATAAAAAAAGTTTAATTTTGCCACAAACAGCATATATGTATACAACTTTTTTTTTTGTTTCCGATAGTTAAAGTTGCGGCTGGTCTATAAAATTAACTACATGGCACTACTCTAATTACTACATAACTCTTTACCTGAATAAAATATAACATAAAAATTTTGGATCTCTACAAATGGTAAGGTGTTCTAATTAGTGCAAAAGTGGCGGCTGGTTTAGATTTTTTTTACTACCCTTGCCTCCTCAGGCCTCTGCTCTTGGTCTATATATCATTCTTATGTATAGGTATTCGAAGTGTTAAGCGACTAGTAGCACCGCCCTGAGGGTTCGATTTGGAACTATATGTTTCCTTAAATTATGCGTTCAAATCGTCGCGGTAGCAACGACGTAGAAAATGAGTTTTTTTATTTCCTTAACCGATTTAATGGATTATGTGGGTGAAGGTTCACGCAAATACGTGGAAGGTGAAAATGTGGCCAACGCTAACCACATTTTTTACTGTGCTATCGAGGCACACAATCGTCCAAAGAAGTAAAATTAGTATGTTTGTGTTTGAAGTCCACTGACTTGTTTGGAAAGCCTCACGAGTTGGGTGTGATAATAACAAACAGTTATTTGGAAAATAGAGCTTTGAAATGTTATTGCAGTTGCCCTGCTGGCTCCGGAGGAAGATGTAAACACATTGTTGGTGCGCTTATTTATTTAACAAGGTTCGGAATTTTATAAGCAATGGTAAGTTTAACGGGCATTCCTGAAAATCAAATTAATTTCATCATATTCATCATCAGGAACGAAACGTCAAAAATCAAGGAGGCAACTTGTACCGATCTGAAGAAAACGTGGGGCCAAAGTTCTGAAAGGGTTGCAAAATCAATGTATGAAACTGTACCTATCAAGCAGGCACAGCACATTGTAATAAATTGTTTTTGAACTTCATTTTTACGAATTTTCGCCAATAAATATGATTAAAAAAATAAAAACTCATCAGTACTACCGCGACGATTTGAACGCATACTTTGGGGAAACATATAGTTCCAAATCGAACCCTCAGGGCGCTGCTGCTAATCGCTTAACACTTCAAATACTAGTGATTGCATACGCCACGTACGGACCTTTTGGTACGTTTTTTTTGTACAGTCGGTTGGTTGATCGGTCGGCCTGAGTCCTCTAGAATGTATATCTGCATACATAGTGAGTATAGGTATATTAGGTATACTTTCTTGAGGAATTGGACCGACCGACTACAAAAAAAAAACGTACCCCTAGTGTCGCTTTTCTCTACTAAATTTTATGTGTAAGACTACTAATACTAAGCCTCATAAGACAACAGAGCTATTCGTAATGACTTTTTAATGATGCTACCACCTATGCACGAGTGCCGCGTGAACGTGACACTTTAGCATTGGTTATTAACAAATTTTCAAATGTCGCATCATTACGTATCGCTCCAATGATCATGAGACAAGCTGTCTGCATTTTGACAAAATTCACATATTGTTGGTAAACGCACCTTAAAACCATTAGAATTTGGGCGCGAACGTGGAAGTCGAAACTATTTTTTCTTCTCCATCTGTCTCTTTCTCTGTGCAGCGTTCAGCCGGGCTACAAGTTGTAGCCTGAAGAGGTGGAAAGTACAGAGAAGACAAAGGAAATTTTGGTTACAATTGCACCATTTCACAATACTATTACTTAATCGACGACTAGTGTGGCTATTTCGTTTTTTGGCGTTTTCTTTTCATTGTCAGTCCTGCTCCGCTCTCCGCTTACTCTCCATTTTCGATAAAAAAAAAAAAAAAAGTCATTAACCATCACAGTTAAGAGTTTTGAACAAAAATGGGAAAGAAAATCCTAGACCTGTGCGAAGAGTACTTCGGAGCTCGTGACTTCTACGAGGTGCTTGAGATCCCAAAGATTGCAAGCGATAAGCAAGGTAAACCAGCCGATATAACCTACATTTTAATGAGACCTTTGTTACTCCATTTTTTTTGGAGCAGAACATCTTTTGGTTCCATTTTTACTAGATTATTGTACATAGAGATTTCTGTTGTAAAAAAACTCATGTCTACATTTACATGTAGTAATGACTTTCATGCCTTCTGTACGTGGCGTATACAGTTATTTAGAGGCATTCCTTGTTTCGTTGCCAAATTTCGTTGAGTTGAATTTAAACAATTAAAAAATTGCATGTGGGATGTTAGTAGTTAATCCCAACTAACTTTTTTTTTTTTTTTTCTAGTCAAAAAAGCTTATCACAAGCTATCTTTACTTGTACACCCTGATCGAGTAGAAGAAGCTATAAAAGCAGAAGCCACAGAGAAGTTTAAGGTTCTTGGTGTAATTCATTCTGTTCTAAGCAATGAAGACAAAAGGAAAATTTACGATGAAACTGGTCAGTTTGATGATGATGACGAGGAAGTAGTTATGCGAAACTGGGCAGACTACTGGCGCACACTTTTCAAACCGGTCACTGTACAAGATATTAATAATTATGAAAAAAGTTACAAAGGGTCTGATACAGAGATCAAAGATCTGAAGCGTGCTTATCTCAATGGTAAGTATTTTTATAACTAAAACTTGATTAGTCCCTTATGAAGTGAAGGAGAATGGTTCTTATTTTGTTTGTATTTAAAGGTAAAGGCGATATGGATCACATCCTTGAATCAGTTCCGTTTACCAATTGTGAAGAAGAACCTCGTTTGAAGGCTATTATCCTGGATCTAATTGAAAAAGGTGAAGTTCCTGAGTACAAGCAATTCACAGAAGAAAGTGAAAAGAAAAGATTGCGCAGAAAAAGAAAGGTAAGATTGAAATTATGTTAACACCTGAATTTTTCATTGTAAACTTTTATTTCTGTATTTTGTTGTACTTGAAATTTATTTCGTATTTGGAAAAATTTACAGTTATAGGTATTTAATTATTTGTCCTTGGAAATTGAGTGGTCTTGTGCCTCTTGTTTAATGAAACTTTGGAATCTAAATTATTAGATTTAATATGGATGTTCTTTGCAGTTTTCATATCTATCTTTAGCAAAATATTAATTCAATGATTTTTCTATATGATTGGTATCAACCTACTAATATTGAAAATATATATATTTTTTAATCAGCAAACAATTTTTTTACCTGGTAGAACAATGCTCTGATTCTAAAGTAGAGTAAATTACAATGTTTAATAGTTTTTGGGGTAACCCATGGGTATTTTATCAAGATATCTGAAGCTTTTAATCAATCTTAATGTTTAATATGAGAGACTTGGTTTCTTAGTACGCTTTACATCTCTTATAATGTTGAGCATACGGGTGTGCTATAGTAAATCTTAAAATGTTCATGTTCAATTTATAATAAATGATATAGAAGCTTACAGCACCTTTTATTTAAAATTAAATTTTAAAATTCGATAAATTTTATNTTAATTTTATATAAAATAGCAAAGTAAAGCTTAAATTCTCTTAAATCTTATGAATACGCTTAAATCTAAAAAAATGAGAAAGAAAATGATTTGTAAAGTTTGAACTGATTAATAAATCTTTCGGTTGGGATAAAATTTTGAAAAATTATAATTTTTATTATCGAATTGGGAATTGTCAAGTTAACATCAAACTTTTTTTAAACTCTCTTACTTAAGTAAGATAAATATCGAAATATTCTTAGTAAATTCCAGACTTACGCAAGGCTTCCAAAAGACAATTACTTACAAGTCTAATTATTTAATCATGAATTCATACTAAAAGTGTTGTGAACGATGTTGTCAATACTCACTAATTGTTGAAGTCCAGAGAAACAATGGGTGTGTTCCAGTAACGCTCTCCGACAACTTACCGACAACTTAATTATGTCTGACGATATCTTGCGTCATGTTTAAGTTGTCGGAAAGTTGTTGTAGAGCGCTACTGGAACACACGGAATGTCGAGTTAGTTTTGATGGATGTCCAACAGCGGTAATCAAAGAAAACATACCTATATATACGTGCTCGATTGGTAACATGTCTGTAAACAGAGTGGCATCAAACGATCACTAACAATCACTAACCATCGGAAGGAGCTGCAGATGCCAATGGTTACGGATACGTTATCCAACGAGTAGAGGTTTATCTACAGTTTTTTTTTTTTACGGACATTAGTCAACCATCAAAACTACTTCTTCATTGTTATTTCAAACCTTAAAAATACTTTTTTCATCCCTTACGTGTTTTTTATATTGTATTTATAACAGTATAACAGTAAAGTAGACAACCTATGCATTATGTTTAGGAATCGCTAAATCCGAATTTGAAATCTGTTTGATCCTATTAATACGTCAGATTTTTTTTTTTTTTTTTTTATGAACCTGAAAATGAAATAAAAAATAAAACATTAACCGTTGAATCTCCTGAATAAATATTGTAAGTTGGTATCAAAATTATCAGAAACTGTAAGAAATTTTAAGCAAAACTAATTCAAGTATCGATAAATATATGTACAAAATTCCAGACTGATTTATCACGTAGTTATTGAAATATCCTCGTCAAAAAATCATTCATTTCATCATCTGTTAACATTGGGACAATGGTGCAAATACCACATAGTCTCACTATTTTAAAAACAAAAAACGATTGCAAAACTGCTAAAAACTACCATAAAAGATAGTGAAACATATTTTTTGATAATTTTTTTACCACACAGTTTTGAATTGACGGTCATAAAAAAACTGCTTTTCGTTTGGTATTGAAAGATAACTAAATAATTATCACGTATGTGGGAATTTTGCCTTGTCAGGTGATTACAGAAAATGTAAGTTATAGATATATGTATATGTTAATGTTTGTATATTTATACGCATAGACATTCACTCATTTATTAAGTGTATAGGATGATATACATTAAATCTTTCTGCTACACTCAACTTAACCTTATAGTATTGTATATCCATATATTTAAAAACAATTACCTTAATAAATCTTCTATAACCACTCGAGTAATCTTACTATAGTATGTTTCTGGGATGGCTACATCCTAATTTAAACTCCCTTAGACAAAATCACAGTAAGTAGCTTTTTTCTCATAAAAGTCAAATAACAACATTTACCTTCAAATCCTCTAAAACATTATAATGCTTCTAGAAACTAGGTAACCCTCACTGTATGTTTTTTAGGTCGCTGAATTTGAATCTAAAGCTCGTTTGACCGCATCACATTAGGTTTTTTTTCCTTGTAATAATAACGATTAAAAAACAGTGTCAACCCATAAATCTTCTAAAACATTATTGAAAACTGCTTCTAAATACCAAACTTGCATTTTTATTATATTTTTCAGTAAAGGCCATGGGGTACTTTTGATTCTTTTACCATATTTCGAACAAATTCCAGGATCTTTTTAATTAATAATGAAATTGAAAATAAGCAAATGCTCATTTTACATTCCGTCTTATTCCTCTTGGGTGCTTTGTTTTTAGTTTTTCATCCACATCCATTATACATTCTGCATTTACAGTATTACTTTCATCACATTTGTCTGCTGAAAAAATTTTCGATCACTTGTTATTGATGATGATGTTGTAGCAAAAAAAATCCAAAATGTTTTGAGTTTAGCACGTGCCCCCAGACGTCAAATGATTTCCCATTTAAATAACATAGGATTTTTTAATTTCAACTTTGTTTAATTTTTTTGGAAACTTTCATTTTTTCTAAATTTTCAAATAATACCACTTGATTTATTATGACTTGGACTTCAAAAATCAATTTTTCCACTTCAAAATAAGCAAGTTGAAAAAAATTTATTTTTTGGGATTTTTTGTTCCACAAAGGCTTCAGAGTCCAAAATCAAATTTTTTCAACTTTCTTATTTTGAACTGAAAAAAATTGCATTATCAAGTCCAAGTCACAATATCAAATAGTATTATTTAAAAATCTAAAAAAAAAACAACAACAATAATAATAATAATATTAAAAGAAAGTTGAAATAAATAATCCTATGTTATTAAATAGAAAATCAAAATGTGTCTAGGAGCACGTGTCGACTCAAACTTTTTTGGTTTTCAGGCTATATATTTTTATTTTAGGATACAACGAAAAGTCTTCCAAGGATAGTAGTTGATCAAAAGGTCGAATTTGGTAAATAACGAACACCCTACTGTGTTAACATATTTGATTCCATGTATTTTCTTAGAATTACATCCCATCGTCACTGTCTTACAAAAAAGCAATCTTTTCTTGATTCTAGCCTCACTCCATACGATTAGGGATAAGAATTTTAAGTAAGAATTTTTCTCCAAACAAGCTTTGCTGCAGTTAACGCACAGATTGTGTGATATTATGATACCCAGTCTTTGTTTTAATTCGATATGTCACTTTTAACACAATAAGGTATTTTCACTTGTGACGTCATTCCAAGATGGCGCGATCACTGTGTTTTTTTTTTCAAATTTGCACCAAATGTGCAAAACCAGCTGTGAAATTCACGAGGACGTCCCAACTAATGATAATGCGTTTAAAAACTTTAGGTTTTAATAAGCTATCGAATGAACACTAAATTTTTTACATCTTCACTTGGTAAGCAATGCAAAAAAATGAATGAAATTATCGCGGGCATAAAGTTGATTAGAAAAACATTTTATTTTTTGTGCTTACTATGATCCAGTTATAACGAATTTGAAATATAGTCAATAGCGATTCCCGATGCATTAGAGGAAATTTTTCGTTTGTTTGCCAAACTGTAGTTTTAATGAAAATCAGTACAGAAAAAAAGTACTGCAATCAGGCGGATTGTACCCGTCTAGTATACATATATATGGTTGCAAGCTTCCTCGCCTCCGCGATCATGACAAAGTCTCATAACCTCTGACGAGCTGTCAAAATTGAAGCAGTGTGTGGCAAAAACATGAATAAAAGTTGTTGTATAAGTGGTTGTCACGATAAATCTGCGAAATGTTGTCTTTTCATAGATAAAGAAATGATTTCATTTCGTTCCTCTGCACTGATACTTTTGTATTTATTTTTTATTGTTCGGAGAAATCACAGATGGAATACAAAAAAAAAGGTTTTGCAGATTTATCGTGACAACCACTTATACAACAACTTTTATTCATGTTTTTGTCACACACTGCTTCAATTTTGACAGCTCGTCAGAGGTTATGAGACTTTGTCATGATCGCGGAGGCGAGGAAGCTTGCAACCATATATATGTATACTAGACGGGTACAATCCGCCTGATTGCAGTACTTTTTTTTCTGTACTGATTTTCATTAAAACTACACTTTTGGCAAACAAACGAAAAATTTCCTCTAATGCATCGGGAATCGCTATTGACTATATTTCAAATTCGTTATAACTGGATCATAGTAAGCACAAAAAATAAAATGTTTTTCTAATCAACTTTATGCCCGCGATAATTTCATTCATTTTTTTGCATTGCTTACCAAGTGAAGATGTAAAAAATTTAGTGTTCATTCGATAGCTTATTAAAACCTAAAGTTTTTAAACGCATTATCATTAGTTGGGACGTCCTCGTGAATTTCACAGCTGGTTTTGCACATTTGGTGCAAATTTGAAAAAAAACCCCAGTGATCGCGCCATCTTGGAATGACGTCACAAGTGAAAATACCTTACATTTGTAAGCATTTCGAACAGTATCAGTAATATTTTTTCTAATGTTGGACAGTGTAAAAAAAAAATCAAACTCGTAACAGGAACTGTCCGGCTTACTTGTATCATCATGAACCAAAACACCCACCCCTTCGAAGCTGCAGTGGTATGACGATGCTTACCTACATCGTATATTTTTTACGTGTATTTGCCATTACGGCGTGAACGTACGACGTTATCCAGGGTCTCTGCCTGACGTGTCGACTTAGTTGCTCATCATACACCACGTGAAGGTGCCCTGGATTACAAATACTTGAATAAAATGTAACAACGTGTCCTGTATTTTATTAGGTCACAATGTATCCAGAAGCATTTTATACATATGGAGGATATAAAGGTAAATTTTGTTTTTTGACCTTTATTTTGAAGTTATAAAAATACCTGACGTGGTAGAGTCGAACGGACTTGAGATTCGGATTCAGCGACCCATAAACATATAGTAGAAGCTGTCTGGTTTCTTTAAACAGAGTTTAAATTTATTATTTGTTCGGTGCAACATTTTCAAACTGTGCCGCCAACGAAAAAAATTGTTCATACTTACCCATTTAAGCACAAGTGTTTATTGTGGAAAAATTTTTTTTTATCATGAAACAGTGAAAAAATTACTGTTGGCTCGAAACTTGTTTACAACACTAAAAAAAAAAAACTCAACTTATTTATAAGAGATCCATTCATCTGTTCATGCTTCAACAAAAATTTCTTAAGCGTCATGGCCCATACGAGGCTATGTTATTCTTATGAGTAAGTACCGCCATTTTTACCCATGCAGGCGTCGCTGTTTCAGATTGTTGCACGGAGTGAATAATAGTGATACTGCGAAAATTTTATCGAGTTTGTGGTTTTTTAATTATATTAAAATTATTTAAGATTTTTAAGCCTGCGTAGATATGCGCTATATACTTTTTTATATGTAGAGTACATTTTTACTAGTGTAGAAAGATTTCAAAAATAGAAATTTCGTGTAAGTAAAACGGTAATATTTTGAAACTAGGTATTTATATCACTCAAGTTAACTTAGAGTGAAAAATTTTAATGGGTAAGCGTTTTGCCATGGTTTTACAAGATATTTGGTGTTAAAATATGCTATATACAATAGTATATCTTATAAACTGCAACACCAATAATTTAAGCATATTCAAGCTTGACACAGGATTTTTGTGGATCCCACTATATTTAAAACAATTAAATGACTCGGCTTTATGCTAAAGAATGCAGGTATCAGATTTGTATTTACAGCGATCAAGATAAAGCAAATGAGAATGACATGTAACCCCATTATTCTATAATATAATTCATGAGATAAGATTTTTAATAAATAAACAAATACAAGTATATAGGTGTTTGATTCCGATGTCTGTGAACTCGGAAAATGTGTGTAATCCATGTTTTCTTGTATGGATTTCAAAGTAAAAAAAGAAATAAATAATAAATAAAACCCTCAAGTANCTAATTTCAGACTGCAAAAAAAATGATTAAACAGCATTTCTATTAATAATTGAATAAAATCAATTGGCCAGTTTTTAAGATATTTTTTATTTTTAACTAAGGCGTTAAGAGCAGTATTTTTTGTTGATACGTATTTTAATGAAAAACTCAAGAGTGTGTTTATAATCCGAAGATTTTTATTATTGTATAGTCAAATAAAAATATTATTGTATCGAAACAGCTTAATCATTTCTTAAAAAAAAAAAAAAAAAAAAAAAAAAAAATGCATAAAAAATGTTATGAAATGAAAATAAAAGGCTGGACTTGCAAATGGCGTAAAAATATGTAGTTCGGATGAAATATCACGTTATCTATTGTTCATTATGCGCTCATGTCAGTGTGATTAATACGCTCCAAGTTATCTACAAACGACTGAAAAGTTTCCTAACAGCATCCGCAGGCATTGACCTTGCTACCCTTGCAAGTCTATCCTCGGTACTGATTACGCTCTCGGTACAACCTCACACTCTTTGTCGAGGAGGAACAAAGAATGCTATTACCAGACTGTCAGTTCGATAATCACTTGGTATCGCAACAAAAGTATCGTCGCCGGTTTACCCTTTACTCGAACGTGCTAGAAAATTCGCATGTTGTTTAAAAATTCCAAAATCACGAGGAGCAATGTTACTGTTTTTCTCATGATAAAAACTTTTTTTTTTCAACTGGCCATTTCGCGTTTGAAAACAAGAAACTGTCAAGTGTATACATTATACCATGCGTCCTATCGACAGCCCTTATCTACCTTAGACGGTACCATCAACGCCAGTGTACAGCCAATCGATAAAAAGCTCCCACCCCCGTTATGAACAGGTAATAGCAAGCTCCGCGCGCGGCCGATTTTTCCTCCGCTAACCAGGTCGCAAGGCCTCGGATCCGAGAACCACGACTTTTATCGCGATTAGCATGGGTGTAGCAGCACGTAACACGCCCGTGACGTGCTTGCAGCTTGCACGCATATAGGGACTGGAAAAGGAAAAAAAAGAGCAAGGTGATGGCTCGGAGCGCGCCGCTGCGGCGCTACTCCATACAGCCGGCGAGGGAGCGGGTCGGGGGTAGAGCGCCAACTGGTGGGAGAGCCCGAGTAAATAAATAACCAGGCAGGGCGGGCGCTCAGTGCTTGCCCAGACCCCGCGACCGTAGCAGCCCAGACCCGTACCGCGGCTCGCCAACAATCCAACAACCCACAGCTCTCGTGAATGCGCCTCCGACATGCCGAGCATGGGCCAGCCGTCGGCGAGACTCGTCCTCGCTGCGCTGCTGCTGCTAGGGCTCGGGGCCCGAGGGGCTGAGGCCAGCTGCGCCCGCGTGAACAACCCCGAGCTGGTCGAGTACAGCTGCGAGGGCGGCTCCGTCGAGGACCTGCTGCACGTGCCGGCCGATGTGGAAAAACTCCGCATCTCCGGCATGCCGGTACGCCGACTCGGTGAGGCCCAACTGGCGCGCTTTTCCAAGCTGCTCGTGTTTGCCTGCTCCCACTGCCAGATCGCCGATGTCGAGGACGGCGCTTTCCGTCGACTGGAGGACCTGCAGCAGCTCAGCCTCGACAACAACCAGCTGACCGAGGTTCGGGCTGGGTGGCTCGAGGGCCTTGCTTACCTGACATACCTCGACCTCAACTACAACAGCATCGAGCGTATCGAGCCCGAGGTTTTCCAGGGCGCCCCGGACCTGGTCGACCTGCGGCTCTCGGGCAACCGTTTGGTCTGCCTGGACCTCGAGGCGCTCTCGCGGCTGCGCGACCTCAAGCGCGTCTTTATCAACGAGAACCCGACCTTCGCTTGCCCCAACGCCCTTAAGCGTTTTCTGAGCGAGCGACGCGTCGACTTCGAGGCTGACCCCCAGTGGGCGACCATGAGCCAGGATCGAGTGCGCGCCAGCGAGCCGCTGCAGCAGCTGCAGTCGTCGCCGTCCCCGATGGTACCACCGACGTTCCACCCGAGGGGCCACTGGACGCCCGAGCCCCCCCGCTACGAGGAGGAGCCGACACCAGCGGCGAGGCCGCCCGTGTATGCCCCGCCGCCCGAGATGATTCAGCCGTCGGTGCCCGAGCAGGACTTCCCTCTGCAGGGGCCGTTTTACACGCCCAAGGTCAGCCAGCAGCAGCTGGAGAATTACCGCAACAGTCTGGCGGAGCAGGCGCAGAACGCGAGCGAGGCCGCGAAAAACCGGGGCCTGGACGCCCTGGCCAACGCCACCCTGGCCCCGAACGTCCTCCTGGCCGGGCACCAGCCGCAACACCCGGACGGCCCGAGCAGCACCGAGTGCCCAAATGCTGCCACTCGTGCCCCGCTGATGTCCCTCCTCCTCCTCCTTTGTGGATTGGTCCTGCAAACCGCCGCTAACTAGACCGAGGAGGTCACGGTGCAAGGGACGAGGGAAGGTGCTTGTTGGGAGTCGAATTAGCGCCGGTGATGTGTCGAGTGTGTCTACTTTGTTTAGTACCCGAGTATTTTGCATCGACATGTGCGAAAAGGGAAAGCGTGAGGGCGGTGACGGCGAGTCGCGCTTGTCGATGTTTTTTTGAATTGTCTCGTCGCAACGGGGTACTACGACCGTTGGCCGAAAAATAATGTTGTCGGAGCGCTCGCGCGTGTGTCATATTGCGTTTTGCGGTCTGGAACATTTGGTGGAGCTGTTTTGGTTTTAGTGAGTTGTTGTTGCGGTGGGGATTGTCGTTGGTTTCTGCAACTACGTGCCTCGTCACTTTAGGACTTTGGAAATTGGCTGATTTGCGGAGAGAAAATGGTTTATCGTTTGTTTTCTTAGACGAGCGTGTTCGGGACAATTACTTGATGTTTCCATAACTAACATGTAGGAAACAGTATTGTAGTTGTATTGTCGAAAGGTGTTCGATCAGCCGATTACAATCTAACCGCAGAAGTGATTGGATGTATTGCTCGAATCGTAATCAATTGCATTCACTGCCATTTGGTATTTGCAAAATTTATGAATTAAAAACATTCAGAATTTTTGCTGTATTTCTTAAACAATTTAAACTGCAAGTCTCTCTTTTCATTTGACTTTATCAAACTTTACACGAGGTAATACGATTGACATTAACAAACAAGTTTTTCTCACGCGCAACAAATTTAGAAAGTCAAAATTATTTCATCAAGTTATTCTCGTCTAGGCAACAGTTTTATTTGAGTATGCCCTAAGTTTAGAATTTGGCATCGATATTCGGTGCATTTTTTGGCTCCGAAAAACTCGAGCTCCGGCTAGACGCAAAATTTTTTACCACATATTTTAAGAACACGCGTCAAACGCGGGCTTCTCACTACTGATCGATGTGACAGTGACGAACAGTTTCGTCCAAATTTCTAATCGTTATTGCCAACTGTGCCCCGCAAAACAAAGTAGACCAAAATATCTCATGTTTGAAATGACGTTACCACTTATCACTTTAGTTGTAATCAGTCAGTTGTATGTTTTGAATGTTAGATCTCTATAAATGTAAAACTGTATCGTAACGACAGTAATCATGAGCTGCAACTTGTTCACGTGTAAATTTGAAATGACTAATGACCCCGAGTCACGCATCAAGTGCCTGTTACGAAACACATGCACCTACACATATCTGTATAATAAATTAAGTAGGAAAAATAAAAAAAAAGAGCACCATTGTGAGCGGATAATCAAATGTGATTGTAAATAAAACACGGGAATTCGCTTGATTGATGCGCATGCAATATTTTTGTACGCGTATTACATGCCATACGTGCGATGGTCGCGCTTATCCGGCATTTAGGGGAGATTAGCGCAGAACAAGGCACGACGCTGCTACAAGAAGTGCTGCCTTTGATGTGTGCAAAGGGACAGTGTAATTGCCGCCTCGGCAATTCGCACTCTTCTTCTCTTATCTACATAGTCGACCGAGAGAGCAGAGCTCGTGATGATGCTGCATACTACCTTATACATATACACTTATCACGCGAATCGATTGACGGCAGTTCTCTGTAGCGCGAAACTAAAAACGCATGTATACGAGCCGACTTTAATCGGAAGGGATATCATGCAGCTTCAGTCAGTGCTCCCTTAGAGTGTAATAAGCTGAGCGAACGAATGCGCACGCGAATGTCAACTCTCCCGTCCTTTTCCGCCTTCTTTTACGTTGTTCCGTGTCGTCTTTGCTATTGTGCTGTTCTTTGTCACTGCTCCGATGCTTGTCTAGAATTTGTTGATTATTGGTAGTCTACAAAACAAGAAATAAAATAAAAATAAACAAAAAAAATAGAGGCAAGACGTGCACGTATTTATTGTACATACATACATGCGCTTCCCAAAGTCCGTGCTAAGTAAACGAGCATCAGACGAGGGAAGCGCTTGTGTTAAAAGCAACGATGTAAGTAGTATAGCATATGAATGTATACACGGATCATTCTCTTACTTTGATCGACTTTTTCTTTTCTACGCTTGAATGTACGGAAGTTGTCATGTAACTATCCAGCATTAACAACTCAATGTTGCAGTAGTGTCCGATTCAGCTGTTCCCAATTCGTTTATTTTTAGTGAGTCGAGATTTCCCGCGGAAGTAACTGCAGGACGCTTGCATTCGGCAAATAGTATAGATGCGTGAAATGCTAGGTATTGTGTAACTCTCAAACGCTTCTTTTGTACGCAAAGTAACTATTATTGAGTTTAAGCAGAATCCATGCATTATTCGTTGAACGAGAAGATGTTTATCGAGAAGGGATGTATGTTACTGGTTTTCGTATGCAACTCTGTGTATGCACTTCTTGAAAAGAGCAAGAAATTTGGTTTTCACAAAAATTATGAGTTCAACGCAAGCTATGTTTCGTCCTTGAATATTTGTATTCCAATTGCTTATTTATGACCATAATCAAACATCAAGATAATGTCTGAATTCGATAATAGTTGAGCATAATATTGTTACTGAGAATGTATTATTTTTAAATGTAAAAAAATACAGTAAGGAAAAAATGGTGTCAATTTAATAAGACTGTGAGAATATTTTAAATGTTCTAGCCCTTAGCATTTTGATTTTGACCCAATAACCCAATAACCCATCGTAATTTGCACGAATATTGGAGCCATTTATTTCTTTTTCTTCCTACATTGCAATTGCACGTTTTGAAGCACGATATCTCTTGAACCTTTCCTTACTTAATGACGACGATCGTTTTACTGTCTCACTCATTTTACAAAAAAAAATTTTTAAACTATTCAATAAAATAGCAGAGAACCCTTAACATGTCAGTTAATTATCTTACACACACTGCTCCGAAATGGCTGTCATTCGCATAAGTTGTACCTATTTATTGTTGCTACAGATACAGTATAAGAAAAAGTGAAATGGAAGATACCTAGCTAGGCTTCCTACCTAGTCCCTGCCAATTCCACCGTAACAAAACCTACCTTGGGCCTGCCGAGGTAGCCTACCTAGGCCCCCTCTAACTACCGAGGCAGCCTAGTTAAATTTTTGATCGGGTAGGCGTTAGCAATCTCTCTATTCATCTCTGGGAGAGCTAAGCTTTCTCGGCTGCTACAATGAGATTTTGGTGATTTTTTTTCAGTTTTTTTTTTTTACAATGAAATTGATCAAGTGCTGCGGTAGTGTGATAAAGAAATACATGAAGATGATGCACGAATTTTTTTGTGATAAAAAATTCAATTGTCAGTCCATGATTGCCAAGTAAAAACATTAATTCCTTGTATCTTGGACTCAGATTGAGCCTAGGACAATGAGCCGAATCGGACGTTCAGCCGAAAACTCGGACATTGAGCCGAACAAACAAAAGCATACGCAATGCAGCCAACTGAAGCGGGCCAAACTCAAATCGTATTAAAAATAGGTAATGTCAGCCTGTGAGCCTGCGCGCACAAACTGCAGATGGCGCGGCTGCATCTAAAAAGCTTGCCCTACAAAGTTAGCGTTTTTTTCACATCGGGGCTATCGAGTGCGNATGTAAAAAAATAAATTTTATTATATCGTTTGTTAGAAAAAGTGAAAAAAAATTTAATCATGCAGCAAATCTGAACTTTGTAGATGTGTACTTACTATTAGTGAATTTGATCAAACTCATCCAATTTATTGTACAATGATCGTTACGTTTTAACTTTAATAAAATATTTTTAAAAAGTGTTACATTACAAACTATTTCTGAACCTACCTCAATAACACCATTTTGTATAGGATGTATTTTAGCTTGATAAATACGAATTTGACATAAGCTTTGATTAAATTACCATCAGTATGTATAATTATTAGTACGAGACGGAATATCCTAAATTATTCCTTGTTCCTCTAGATGCAATGAAAAACAATTATTTTCTCGACTGAAGCAACACTAAAGAAAAAATAAGTACTTTACTAAAATTCACTATTTTTCTTGACCAGTTGAACCTTAGATATCGAATAGTTATGTCATTGCACTTAAACACATTTTATTAGTTGTTTTGAACTTCGACTTTCACGAGATAAAAGTTTTTTACTATTCCTCAACTCTAAGAAGTAGAAATATGTATCTTTTTGGACTTATAACTTTATTTGCTATTACAAATTTGTCGTTTGGCTTATAAGAAATTGATTAGCATTATTCTTTACAAAGTGTCAATAAGTTTAAGTTTTAACGTGCACTTATCAAAATTAGAAAAATAACATGATTTCGGCTTTTGTATTCAACTGTACTACTTACACACAAATAACGTGCTAAAACTTTGAGTCAATATGTTTCGAACAGTAAAGCTAGGCTGATTAAAATTTGGCACAATGGTCTTAATCTTCATTAACTCCAACATATTCTACTTTCATAACATTCTGTAAAAAAAATTGCGAAATAAAAAGTAAAAATGTGTTAGTAACAACAACGTCGTTACACTTCTTCATAATAGTCTGTGTATAGGTACAAAACTTTGCATTTAATTTCTGGAAAACTAAAGCCTCCTAAGATTAAAGTATGTTATTACTAGTAATGAAGTGTATTATAAATAGTTTTTTCAAGATTTTCTGTACAAAATAAAATTTTAAAATAACCTCCTTAATCGCCCCAGCTTTTTTTTCTTCGTATGAGAATCGTATTCGTTCGTAAGTACATCGAAATATCTATAGTATGAGTTTAACTCGCATACTAAAAAATTAAGTTGACTAGAGCTACTACGTGAATGCACCGTAGACGTAAAATATCTACGTAGACATATTAAATCAAGGTTTATGAAGCAGGTACTTATGTTTCAAAGGTGAACTAAAAAGTTAGAAACTTGATCAAGTACCTTTGAAATGTTTTTATACTACAACATTGCGGCCTTTGTTATTGCATAAGTATAGGATCAATGTTTTACTAGGTAAAAGTCAGTCGTTCAATGATGTTAATGTGTATTTGCTACTCTTGAATGCCATGATAAAAACACACTCCTGAGAACGACTGATTTTATGTCTTTTAAAAGGACAACCAATTTTCTTCAAAATGTTATTACTCTCATTTCATTTACGGTTAAATATCCATTAACGGTACAACTCGTAAATGTTGGACTTGGTAGAGACACGGGGAACAACTATTAATTTTTTGTTTTAGAAGGCTGAAAAAATTTATTTCCCTTGTTTGAAGTAGCAATGATATTTGCATAATACCAAATAGCGAAAGTTATTTAGATCATTTAAATAATTATCCTAAAGTATGATATTTGTATTTGTCGGATGGTCAAAAAGTTTTATAAATTTAATGCATGAATTATATGCCCATGAAACAATTACTTTTCCAAATTGTTGCAATAGTTACGTGCGGTGGATCATCTTTAAGTGATTTTTTTATTTGAGTTTTAACATTATTTGTATATGAAAGAATGAGATATTATTAATTCATTGTAAACTTACATAAATTATTGGATAATTCATTTTCAACACAATATTCATTACATTTTTTTTTTTTAATCATTTTTTTGACAGCAGTATATTGTAAAAACTCGAAAAATTAATTTAAAAACATTTTAAATGTGTTTTTTTTTTTTTAATTATATAGTATCAATTTTCGTACACCAAGAAAATACTTTGAGTTGGATCTTGAAACATCACTCTTGTCTTGCATGTCTTCATCTTATTTATGTTTTAATGTTCTCTTTATTTTTTATGACTAGAGGAGGTTAAGATTTTCACAAGTGACGTATTTCATGCTTTTAAGTTGTTGACTTTGTTTAAAAGTCGCTGTAGTACGTATAATTTAAATTGGTTATAAATATTGTAATGAATAAAAAAAAAAAATTAATTTTTTTTGTAATATTTAGATCCAATATAGTCATTTTTAGT